GGCTCATGAAGCCCTATACAGGCGCCCTGGACACTGAAAAAGAACTCTTCAACTACCGTCTGAGCAAGTGCAGAATGGTGGTGGAGTGTGCTTTTCGACGTCTCAAGGGGAGATGGAGAAGCTTACTGACTCGCTCTGATCTCAGCGAAACCAATATCCCCATTGTTATTGCAGCTTGCTGTGTGCTCCACAATCTCTGTGAGAGCAAGGGGGAGACCTTTATGGTGGGGTGGGAGGTTGAGGCAAATAGCCTGGCTGCTGATTACGCCCAGCCAGACAGCCGTGCGATTAGAAGAGCCCAGCGGGACGCGCTGTGCATCCGGGAGGCTTTGAAAGCTAGGTTCCTCAGTGAGCAGGGTAACCTGTGACTATTAAGTTTGTTTAAAGAGAAGCTGAACCTGCCCCCCGTTTCTTTACCCACTTAATGTTGACTATCCTCTGCAGTTACATACCCCGTTCACTCCGTTCCCCCCCTTCCAACACACGTTTAAAAATAAAATAAATGGAACTTTGTTAATTAACACCATTTTTTTAATATGGATTTCGCAGTAAAGTGTTGAAACTGGGACGCAGACTGTGGTGGGGAGTGGGCGTAGTGATGGAAAGAACGCTTCTAAACTCGAGGAATGACATGCTCCTGCTCCTACAGTGGTCCGCAGTGCTGGACTGGTTGTTTTAACGGAGCCTGCCACCCCTCCTTTTCGGGACTTTGTGTGTGGGGGCTGTGTGACTTTGTGGCGGGGGAGGACGATTAGAGATAGACTGCAGCGGGGCTCTGTCCTCCTGCCTCTGGTCCTGCAGAACATCCACAAGGCTCCGGAGCGTGTCCGTTTGCTCCCTCATTAGTTCAAGCAGCGTTTGAGTCGCCTGCTGGTCTTCCTGCCACCATCTTTCCTCCCGTTCGCTGTGTGATCGCTGGTATTGCGACATGTTCTCCCTCCACTGGGTCTGCAGTGGAGATCAGACAAGCGGGGCAGGACAGCGGAATTCGGGTAGCAGGCTGACATGGTAAGCCATAGACTTTTGGCTGCTTAAAACTTAATTTATAGCAGGGCCCTCCTTTCACGTTCAAAGCAATGCTCCTAGCGCTGGCCAGTTCCTGCTGCCGGCAATCTGGCAAGCATGAACTCTGCCCCGTCCCACCCCCTCACGGCTGTCCCCGGGAAAGATCTCTGTATGCTGTCCCTCTCCCGCCTCCACGGCGTGGCTGTAAACCGCTGGTTACAGTTATGTAAAGGAACAGGCAAGCAGTCCCAATACTAACATTCCCCTAATTCAAAGCAGGTCACCATGAGCGACATCACTCTGATGAGGATTTCTGACACAGAGCAAGACCGCATGCTGCGTCAAAGACAGCAAAAACCAGGGCCGTATGCCGCCATGCTCCGCGAGGCAATGATCCCAGAGTATTTGATGATAGCCTGGCGCGGAAAAGTTTCCTACCACGGAGGACGCAATAAGGCCGCTCTCCCCAGGAACCTCATGCGAAGGCTTTCCAATTACCTCCAGGAGAGCTTCGTGGAGATGTCCAATGAGGATTTCAGCTCTATCCCCGGACATATAGACCTTCTTTTCCAGTAGCTGCACTGGCAAGGACTAAAAAGTAGAGTGCCTAGGGCAAACTAATCATGAAAAACCCATTGTTAATATTCCTGTTCTGTTCAAAATAAATGTTTACATGTTTAAAACACTTACCGACTGATCACCCTGATTCAGGGTCGGGGTTATACCTGGGGAGGGTTGGTAGGGGATCTCTGTGAGGGTGATGAAGAGATCCTGGCTGTCAGGGAAATCAGCGTTGTAAGCGCTGTCGACTGCCTCGTCCTCCTCATCTCTTTCCTCATTTTCCCCGTCCGCTAACATCTCCGAGGAAGCGGCCGTTGACAATATCCCATCCTCAGAGTCCACGGTCAGTGGTGGGGTAGTGGTGGCGGCCGCACCTAGAATGGAATGCAGTGCCTCGTAGAAACGACATGTCTGGGGCTGGGATCCGGAGCGTCCATTTGACTCTTTGATCTTCTGGTACCTTTGTCTCAGCTCCTTGATTTTCACGCGGCACTGTGTTGCATCCCGGCTGTATCCTCTCTCCGTCACAGCTTTGGAGATCTTCTCGTACATCTTCGCATTCCGTTTTTTCGATCGCAGCTCCGAAAGCATGGACTCATCGCCCCACACAGCGATCAGATCCAAGACTTCCCGATCAGTCCATGCTGGGGCCCTCTTTCTATTCTGCAATTGCATGGTCACCTCTGCTGGAGAGCTCTGCATCGTTGCCAGTGCTGCTGAGCTCGCCACGATACCCAAACAGGAAATGAGATTCAAACTGGCCAGACAGGAAAAGGAATTCAAATTTTCCCGGGGCTTTTCCTGTGTGGCTGGTCAGAGCATCCGAGCTCGGACTGCTGTCCAGAGCGTCAACAGAGTGGTGCACTGTGGGATAGCTCCCGGAGCTATTAGCGTCAAATTCCATCCACACCTATCCGAATTCGACATGGCCATGTCGAATTTAGCACTACTCCCCTCGTCGGGGAGGAGTACAGAAATCTAATTAAAGAGACCTCTATGTCGATCTAAATAGCTTCATTGTGTGGACGGGTGCAGGTTTAATTCGATTTAACGCTGCTAAATTCGACATAACCTCCCAGCGTAGACCAGGCCTAAGTGGCAGTTCTGCAGAAAAGGACCTGTGGATTACAGTGGACGAGAAGCTGGATATGAGTCAACAGTGTGCCCTTGTTGTCAAGAAGGCTAGTGGCATATTGGGCTGCATTAGTAGGAGCATTGCCAGCAGATTGAGGGAAGTGATTATTCCCCTCTATTTGACATTGGTGAGGCCACATCTGGAATATTGTCTCCAGTTTTGGGCCCCCCACTACAGAAAGGATGTGGACAAATTGAAGAGAGTCCAGCGGAGGCCAACGAAAATGATTAGGGGGCCGGGGCACATGACTTATGAGGAGAGGCTGAGGGAACTGGGCTTATTTAGTCTGCAGAAGAGAAGAGTGAGGGGGGATTTGATAGCACCCTATAACTACCTAAAAGGGGGTTCCAAAGAGGATGGAGCTAAACTGTTCTCAGTGGTACCAGATGACAGAACAAGCAGCAATGGTCTCAAGTTGCAGTACGGGGGGTCTAGGTTGGATATTAGGAAAAACTATTTCACTAGGAGCGTGGTGAAGCACTGGAATGGGTTACCTAGGGAGGTGGTGGAAGCTCCATTCTTAGAGGTTTTAGGCCCGGCTTGACAAAGCCCTTGCTGGAATGATTTAGTTGGGGTTGGTCCCGCTTTGAGCAGAGGGTTGGACTAGATCACCTCCTTAGGTTTCTTCCAACCTATATCTTCTGTGATTCTATGAAGGCTGGGGGGAGATATGATTGCTCTCTATAAATACATCGGAGGGATAAATGCCAGGGAGGGAGAGGAGTTATTTAAGTTAAGCATTGGCATTGGCCAAGAACAAATGGATATAAACTAGACACAAACAAGTTTAGGCTTGAAATTATACAAAGGCTTCTAACCACCAGAGGAGTGAAGTTCTGAAACAACCTTCCAAGGGGAATAGTGGGGGCAAAAGACCTAAGTTATAAGATAGAGCTTGATAAATTTATGAAGGGGATGGTATGATGAGATTGCTTACAATGGCACATGGCCCATCTACAACTGTTATTTGTAAATATTTCCAATGCCTGTAGATGGAATACTAGAGGGGGAGGGCTCTGAGTTTCTACAGAGAATTCTTTTTAGGTGTCTGGCTGATGGGTCTTGCCCACATGCTCAAGGTCTAACAGACTGCCATATATGGGGTCAGGAAGGAATTTTCCACCAGGACAGATTGGTAGAATACTTAGGGGGTTGTCAACTTCCACTGCAGCATGGGCCACAGGTCACTTGCTGGTTTGAACTAGAGCAGGGGTTCTCAAACTGGGGGTTGGGACCCCTCAGGAGGTCATGAGGTTATTGCATGCAGGTCGCAACCTATCAGCCTCCACCCACCCCTCCAACCCTGCTTCACTTCTAGCACTTATAATAGTCTTAAATATATTTTTTTAAATGTGTTTTTAATTTATAAGGGGGATCGCACTCAAAGGCTTGCTATGTTAAAGGAGTCACCAATACAAAAGTTTGAGAACCATGGAACTAGAGTAAATGGTGGATTCACTGCAATTTGAAGTCTTTAAATCAAGCTTTGAGGACTTCGGTAACTCAGCTAGAGGTATGGAGCTACTATAGGAGTGGGTGGGTGAGGTTCTGTGGCTACAATGTGAAGGAGGTCAGATTAGATGATCGTGATGGTCTCTTTTGGCCTAAAAGTCTATGAGTTTAAGGTGGTGCCAATTTTCTGTAATCACTTCTGGAAGTAGAGCCTCATTTAACAGAACTTAACATTATGGCTTTAGAAAAGTGCTGTATGCTTCAGCCTGCATTTAGAATAAATCTTTTTCTATTTTCTCTCATTTTAAACAGACAAAACCTTCTGGTCAGAGATGCAAGATCCTTTCTTTTTGTGCCTTACTTCTCAGCTTTATTTGGCCATTTCAACCTCAAGGTCTTTACATAAGTTCTGACAAATTTAGCCATGCCTTTGCCATCCCTTCCCTTAGTTTTACCACCTAAACAGGAATGTTTATGCTCCAGTTCTAAAACTAAAATTAGAATCACCTCTTGACATTATGAGGGTTGCCTCAACTACTGTCATCACCTCCTCTCAGATCTTTTTCATATTAATCTTGACCCACCCCCAATCCATCGAAAATACTACCCAAATCATCCTTCAGGTCTGTTGCTTTCAGTATATCAACTCCTTTTTTAATTAATTCCCTGGCTCCCTCTTGTACTGCAAAAGTTTACACTGTCTGTCTTTGCCTTAAGGCTTTACATCACAAATTCCCTGTCTAATTCTCTGATCCAGCCTCTTTTGGCATCCAAACAACAACTGAAATCAAACAGCAATAGTAATTAATTAAATTATAAAAGTGTTATATGTGAACATGCCACTTACCTGAATTGAGCAGGATGATTGACTTAAGGCACACAAATTCCTCCCCCTGGAGATTCATCACACGGAACCGAGCAGCAGTGGCCAGCAACATGTCAAAGATCTCCACCATGCCCTCTACGCACTTCCCTTGATTCCTGCAAGAACACAACCACAGAGATTTCACAGATTTATCCAAACAAAGAGGTTTTTCATCCTCAGATCCTTCCACTACACTTTGACTTCTTAATTATCCACTCCATTCTGATTGTGTAGTGCATTTACTCACTGTGCTCACTTTGCACCAACGTGTCTAAACAAAGTGGAAGGCAGTGGATAAGGGCCAACATCTCAAAGCTAAAATATAGAAATGTTTATTTTTCCAAAAGAGTTGCTAATTACTTAATGGTCTGTACACCAATAGGAGTCATCATGAAGGTTAACTTCCTGTGAGCAAATGATCTTAAGAACAAAGATATTTTTAAATGATATTTTCCTTTTTTCTTTTCCCCTTTACTGCTTTGATTAATTTGTCTTCTCTTCTTTTTCTTTACTCTTTCTTTACATAACCCCTCAAACATTTTTCTTTATGCTTCACAGTACTTCTCCCTAATCTTTTCCTGTTGGCATTGTAAACTAGTATTCTGACATGTTACTCATATTTCTCTTACATTAGTGTAATGATTCAGGAGTCCCTTATTATTTAATGGCACTCATGTCATGACATTATATGATTTTGTTTATCTCAAGACAAAGCTCAGTGATGCTGTAAAGCCCACTAACAATGGCATTTAATCCACGACCCACTGTTCACAATGACAGACTCTGGGTGATTAAATCAGATGGTTCAGATGCAGAGTAGTAGTTAGTATTAATAAATATTCATGGATGGAGAAGAGGAGGAAGAGGAAGAACGAGAGTGACTCTATAGCCTGGTATTTACCTGGGAGGTTAGAGACCGAAGTTTAAGTCCCTGCTGTGAATGAGGCACTCACGGTCCAGGTTAATGCCCTAACAACTGGGCTATTGCCTGTTCTGGAGTGGGTCTCTCTCAAAATTCTAGTTATCAGTCACTTGATTTCAGAGCAGCAACAACAGCTAAGACACAGGGTGTGGTCATTTGCAACAGCAGCTGCTGCTCAGCCTCAGTATTGACTCACTAACATCACAGCAGCAAGACTGTGAAACTCTGCATGGGTAAAATAGAGTGGAAAGCCTGTCCATTGGTAAGGTAAGATGTACCTCTCTGTATGGACATCAAGAAAGTGAAAAGAAAAGAGGTGTTAAAGATTTTCATGGGCAAATAAAATAATTACTAATGCAAAGCAAGGGGTAAAAGATACATACAATTCATGCTTTTCCTCAAATCTCTACTTGTTAAAATGTACATCCTCAGAAAACAAAACCCTTGAATCATTACATGAAGTTCTATAATAAGACAGGCATCTTGTTCTGTTCAGCTTGTTTGTTTCTGGCAGAGCAGCTAGTAGTTTTGTGTTAAAGTGGAGCAGGATTAAACCTCCATATGTAGAATTGTGCAAGGTTTCAGAGGAGCTAAAAGTCTTCATTTCAACAGTTTGCAAATTCCCAGATAAAAATGAGATAAGAATTATGGATAGCTAGCAGTAAGAACAGGATTTCAGTATGCATTGGCTCTTGGCATATTCTAAAGAATGTTTCCATTGCAGACCATTAAGGAGGCTGTGTAAGAAATATACTTGTTCCTCAAAAGCCATCTAGCTACTATCCGCCAGTTTTCAGCTTAAAGCACCTAAGAATATCATACAGTCTGGACTGATTCTGAGATTTTCACATTACTGTTTTCAATGTATATTTCTTGGCAAAGATAGATGTTTTGAGGTGCACCAATGAGCTCTCATTTTAAGGAGTCATATGATTCAACTGAGAGGAAAAAGATCTTGCAGTAGCAAGTAATATACTTTGGTCAATCAGGTACCCTACTGATAATGTTTTTGTAAAGAACTTCAGGAGTAACGATACTGACCTATTTAGATATTTTAACAGCTATTAGTTCACAAGTTCAATATTCCAATCAAGGATGTCTTGTCAAGTGGCTCTACTGTAAGGCTAAAAATTTAGATTACTTTGGCCTCAGCAAAAATCTTAAAAATTTATCATTTAGTTATCTGCAATATTATGGCCTTAATTTTTGAACTTGTGTCTAAAAAGTACTCAATTCACATTTAAGCACCTACAAAAATATTACCTGAATTTCAGAGATTCAGAGCACCTGCAGTTCCCATTAATTCAATGGCATTTGCGGATACTATAGACCCTCAGAAAAATCCAACTTTTTTTAATTAGGTGTCAATGTGGGTTTAGTTGCCTAACTCTAAGTTCCCAGATTTGAAAATATTGGCTTATGAGACTTGTGCCTTCTTCACAGATGTGTGGAGCAACTTCAGTTCCCACTGAAGTCAATGGGAGCTGCAGATGCTTGGCAGCTTTGAAAAAAATCTGGCCAGGAGTCTAATATTGCCAGGATGGCCAATAGGCTCTTAATGCCCTTTGCTGATAAATTATGCCCTTTGAATTAATATCTGTTCCAGAAGAGAAAATAAGAAACTTCTCTGGTGAGGACTCTCTGCTATTTGTTCGTTTTATTTCAGAGATCCTGTCAGTCACAAGGATTTTTAAAGTTTGACCAACTGTGCATGCATTAGAAGGCTTAGAGTATAAGCCATTAATAGAATGCTCATATGACAGAACTTATGGGGAAGAAATTCTGGGATGTCTGTATCTTGGTTTAAGAAGGAAAGTGAAAACACCAGTGAATATTTGATTATCCATTAACTCCCTGCCCACTCAAGATTGCTCTCCTCATCTTAAAGAACCCGCATGATCCCAATATATCTCCATGATTTCATCTCTCCCTATGCTCCCTGTCACAGTTCCCAACATAAATGCACCTCTGACTCCTTCATGGCCTATCTGAGAGCACCACACTCAGCAATCACCTATCTCAGAGGCAACAATCCTCTCTCTTCAAACTGGGGACTTAGGCTATAGACTCCTGCAATTCACTGTGATCACCTCACCATATCTGACCTCAGTTCAGCATCTGTACTTCCACTCTCTCAGGAGCAATACTAGGGTTATCAGTGACCGTCAGCTCTGATAGAAAAGTGCTATTTATTCAGAACAAAAGCAATTCAGAGAAAACATATAATAAAAACAAACAATTTATCTGCATTTTTAGCTTACCAGCTGGTCAGCCATCTTCTACATGGAGCCCCTCATAGGATTAGTATACTTCAGGTCCTCTCATAGGGCCTGTCTCTGGTCATAGACTCATGTCAGTTCTTGGATCAAGTGTGAGTGACACCCTCTTTCTAAGTTAGGAATGGGACTTTATCAACTTTCAGGCATTTTGCATGTTAGGCCTCTTGAGCTATTTCCAGGGAGTGAAACTTCAAAATGACTCGTTACCTACATTGTTTTCAGTATTGGAGATTTTCATTAATTACCTCTCGTTGACTTTAGTTCCTGCCAGACACCTCCTTTATCTTACCCCTTGAGATAGAAATCCAATCTCAATCACTTGCAAGCTCATAAAGATGGATCAAACACATAAATATTATAGTCTTTGAATATACCATATCTCTGTGGCATCTGTGTCTCCTTATAATACACTTTGAATATTCCATGTTTCCAAAGTCTCACATGTGTCACACCCCCTTTCTCCAGTGTTGACCTATATCAGAGGTTGCTCTTTTGCTGCTACCACAGCAATTATTGGGTGAAGTCTGCTCTCATCCCTCCTGATTCCTCATCCCTTTTTCAAATGTAGCTCAAAACTTCTACCTCTTCTGTGTTGCCCACAATCAGGAAGCTGTAATTCATACTTGCACTCTGTATTACCAACCCTTCACATCTCTCATTTACTTTCCCCTTTGTATTGTGGTAGCTGGCTGTTGCACATTGTGAGATATATTGATACAGTTAACACATCCGCTGTCAGAGGTCTGCTCTGTTGCCTTTCATTTTTCCAACAAGAGTATTTTCAAACATTTAGAGCTTGTACATCTATTTAAACCAGTGTAGGCTAAGTATAGCACACTATGGGACATGATGTCAAGTTAAATTAAGTGACAAACTTGAAAATCACTACTTGAACTCTCAAGTTGCTATTCTCTACTTTGTCAACCCTACTAATTTTGTCAAGAGCAGTGAAAGCAGCAGTTGTCTGTTTACTCTGAAATGAGAGACCTCATGGAGGTGGGTTTTTTAGAGCTCTCTCCCAGCGCTCTGCCATGACTACGCAAGCTATGTTAAAGTGCTGCCGTGGCAGCGCTTTAGCGTTGCCAGTGTAGACTAGCCCTCAGTGTGAGATATTTCTGTACTTATAAGCCCCCAGTGTCACCTGATCCCTTATTGTTATACTATAGTAAAAAGAAGGATTTTAAGTGAGTGCTTGGAGAGGTTCATGGAATGGTCTAGTTCCAGCAATTATTTCTTACTAGTGTTGAGCCTTTTAACCAAGTATACAAATACACAGCCAGCACCTGAATACAGAATAAAAGCCTTTACATCACCCTCTTTCAAGATGGTTTCCTCTATAAAGACAGCGGCAAAAGGTTTATATTTGGACTACTGTGGTTGTAGCTTGTGCTTCAAACTGGCACTGAGTGCAGATGTGCACAAAAATGAAAAAAGGTAACCGAGCATGAACTTTTCATTTTTCAAAAAGCTCTTTAGTTTTGGTTCCGATTTAATTTTGAACAAAGATTTGGAGGGAGTGGAGATTCTACTTTATCCATAGTGGTCTGTTCATTCCTAATACATTATGTCCCAATCCTTTAATACATCTTATTTCTGAGCCTCATATTTCTATTTAATTAGAAATAAATAACAAATGTATTACATTCGTCAGTCACGTCCTACGTATGGACTTTGTAGGTATGATTTTCCTCAGTATTTGCTGCTTTTTAATTTACTGGGGATTTTTTTTTCAGTTAATATCTCAAGCCCTAACAGCAGCTATCTTTTGTTGTTCAGATAACACTAATATTTTGTCAACTTATGCAAAAGCATGTGCCAATAGAGTCAATGTACGAATCACAGTCTAAGAGTCACTAGCAGTATGGTGATTAGAACTGGGCCCAAACTAATAGGTGGAATGAAGTCTGCTTGCCCC